CAGTCCAGCATGAAGGCAACCAGCCTTGTCACAACCCACAACTCACTTTTCCCATCACTACGACAGGCAGAACGTTTCCACCAGTGAGCAGATCAACAAACACAAACAATAGCAGACAATAAGGATGGCACACTTTCCCCCATATCCACCTCCAGGCCTTTGAATGGGCGCACTTTGGCACAAAATGGCTGCCATGCGACTATACAGTTGGTTGACGCACAATAGTGTTGTAGATGGAGCAAGTCAGTGACCCGTGCAAGATACAATTCACCGTTCAACTCCCCAAAAAGAGGCATTATGCAAGCTGAACAGCCAGCAACAACTGAGGAGCACTTACATGGATTCTGTGGTGGACAATTGGAGGGTAAAGATGTAGATGTGGGGGCAGCTTGCAGCAATAAGGTTTTTACTGAAATGTTTGTTTGTGTACATCCTAAATGAGCTTCAATTTGTACCCCCACACCCACCCCGAACACACACATGCACACTCTGAACTACTTCCACCTGCCTTTCTCTTACACACAGGAGGCCAATGTTTCTCAGTGTTTCTCCTTTCTTATATGACAGCGAGGCAAACATGTTTAGCTCAAGGTGGATTTTTAAGACCTTAACTTGTAAACACCAGGGAAAGTCCTGTAGTAGCCATGAAGAGTAAATTCCTTGATAATGAATGAGGCTGAGAGTACCTCCAAAAACACGCACAGCAGTGATGAAGCTCTAGCCTGTCCCACAGAAAGAAAACGCTATTTAGGAATTGGTCAAACAGTAATAAACAAGAAGTCAAAGTAGCTCCTAGAAAGACTTTACCTCAAAATTATGAATAGTAGATAACAACTAATCGTTAAGATAAAGGATACATTGTTCAAACAGGCAGCTTGATGTAATGAATAACTTATAATTCAATTTGTAACTAAAAGTAATGGACTAATGGTTAAAATAGCGTCCAAGAGTCATGGGTAAACAGCTGAGACAATTTACTAACCAAAACTGATAAATGGTCAGCAGATGTAATCACTAAGAGTAAACAGTAAGCTGAAAGTGGTCCAGATTCAGTTTAAATAAGTCCAAATGAACTAGTTTGACCACCAGAGGTGGTGCAGATGGAGGAGTCCATCTGATAGGGCTTTGTGGCCACTCGGGGTGTATAAGGCTGGGAATGACTGCTGCTCTGTGCGTGTGAAAGAGAAATAGTGTTAATAAAGGTTCATAAGCGAGTCACGAGACAAAAGTAAAGCCACGCTGCGCTCACACACGCATACACACAGACACGAGTCACTTTCTTTCTCAGCTGTTTGTGCTGCGAGTTTCGTGACAACCATTTCACGGTGTGTAATGAACTTACCTTCACTTGGAAAGGATGGATCTCATTGAGTGAATGTCTTCTCAGCTTCTTCGTCAGCGTCTTCAGCATTTTGTCTTATTTTCTCGTCTATGGCTTATCCCCGCTTTACTGCCTCCTATAGCGTGACGGTTACAACAACTTCACCAGCGACTTTGAAAGAAGGCACACAACAAAGCAGCTGCACTGACTCTCTCCGGTGTCGATAAAAACACCGACACACCGAGATTCCTCAAACTGCGTAGATGCGGCTTCTTTTCAAAGGCAGTGCGCAGCAAACTTATTTTCGAGTTCATCGGAGTCACTCTGCCTTTGCTGTATGTTTAACTACTTTTATCTCTCCCGGAGTTTAACTCAAATATGTTTATGATGAGGGAGGAGGGGGGTAATAAAAATTTAAATGAATATCAACTTGTTCGCATTCACACACGCACACTCACACACATACACACAGCCGAATGCACACCAGCTTCACCAATACATGGGAGATCTCCTCTAGCTAGAGCGTATCGCTCTCGGATTGGCTGCCGAGCCCGGTGACGTCGTGTTACTCTCTCTAGGAGGAGGCGGGCTAAGAGTTAAAGCCGTACGTTCTCCTATGTTTATTTCCTCAACAGGGGCGTATCCAGGATTTTCATTATGCAGCTTGGGGCCCATCTGCTGTGAGCCAGCATAGAAAAGCCAGGACAGGAAACAAGATTATTATATAATGGTTTTTACAATGGTTTTTATCCTATACAACTGACCATATACATGGCACAAAAACAGTTCAGTTAGAGTAAGTCTATTTTTATGTTTTACGTTTGCTGCTAATTTTAGTTTTTTATCTGTAAGTACTTACCTATTTTATATATTCTGTTTATTTGTTAATTGTATATATTTATTGTTATTTTAAGTTCTATCCTAAGAGAAAGGCAAACTGAATTATATTGTACTATTTATAATGACAATAAAGATCATTCATTCAATCATAATAAGGTCCTTGTCATATTATATTTATTTTTATCTTTCAATTTCAGCGTAGTCAATATAAAAAAAATGTAATTCTCCAATTCTCACTTCATATCCCAAAGCTGTTAAATGAGAGGAAACAAGCACATATGAGGCTGATTTAATTCTCCTTCATTTCTGATTGTTGAATCAGGGATAGGTGTTACATAACCTTGAGCTTCAGCCTGCACCTTTCAGTTGGTCATTTTTTTCCTTTTAAATGAACCAAAGAAAGGAAATTATACTTACATATTTATTGATTACACTATTTCCATGATAGCTTAATAAGTACTTATTTTTATCTAAGCAAAATAAATACAATGAAGAAAACAAGTGTAGAAAATATTTGGAAGAATAAGGTTTTGCACATAAGTTATTCATAAGGCTTTTCTCAGTTCGGTACTTTTCCGTGTCCTCCTGCCTGTGACCTGGAAACCAACATTAGTGTCGTATTCTCAGTGTTAAAGGATGTCTCACGGAAATGCATTTGGAAAACTTAGGTAAGAGGAGGCTGGTAAAAGGAACTACAGTAGAGATGTAGTCCATCCTTTTACCTTCAGTGTATAAAACAAGCATAAGACATTATGGTGACCAGACAGTATTTTCGTTCCATGTCTGTCTGTCCCACATCTTGAGATGATGCCCCACATTCTGACAGGTTCTACAGGAAATGCACTTTTCTAGTCTGGCTTTTACTCAATGTATACAGCGGGGTTTTTTGTTGTTGTTTTTTAAATTAGAGTAAGGATGCCATAGTCATCTGAGAAAGTTAGATGGCACTAAAGAGTAACAAGCTTTGAATTTTGTTGACATTGAATGAAACTACTACAAAGAAAAGGAAGTGGCAGTATGTTCTTAGAATTGTAAGAAACTATATATGTAATTGTAGAAACTATGACAAGAAGAGTATTCTTTAGACACAGAAACACAGCTCATTAGCTGTTTCTGTTACTTAAGATGTGCAACTGCCCTTCACCATTTGTGCCTGTGTGATCAAAATATGGTCTGAATTCTTAGGGTGGCTGTAGCTCAGGTGGTAGAGCAGGTTACCTACTCACCGGAAGGTTGGTGGTTTGATCCCAGTATCCTTGGGCAAGATATTAACCCCATGTTGCTCTCTGATGCATCCATCGGAGTATGTGTGGATGTTTGTTAGGAAGCACTTAGAAATAGGTGCTGTGTGAATGTACAAGTTGTGTAAAGCGCTTTGAATGCTATATAAGAACCATTCCATTTACCATATGTCATTCTACCATGTGACTTTAATTAAATCACTGTGACGTTGTGATTAAAATTGTAAGATGAACATGAGCTCTGTGGCATGTCTCACACAAAATATACACCATAAATGGCCCAAATGTAGGACCAGAGGATGGATGCTATACAAAAAGCAGAGCTCTGTTGTGGCTGGCTAAAAATCCAAAACAAAGAGAAAATGGTACAAACAGTAATGCTAAAGGTGAAGGGCAAAAATGAAAAGGAGCACAAGAAGACAGGAAGTATACCCAAAGAACATAACATAAGAGATATTTTGGCTAAGGTGAAGACTGAACTGTCGGGTTTAGAAAATAGGTAGTGAAGAAGACATAGATGAATGCAATCAGAAAACAGGAAGCACAGCTCAGAGCAAGACATAAAAGAATTCCAGCTATCAAAGTAAAACGAGAAACAACCGAAAACAGAGAAAGGGAGGCACTGGAGAAACCAGAAACTTAAAATAATCACAAAAAAACACTGACAGTACGCAGTCGAAAGTGAATGAAAACATTTAAAAACATAAATCAAAGTGTACCCCACAATAGATAATAGTAATAGCCAGTAGTGCATGTTTTCTATTTGGGGCTACTTTTTGTTAAGGTCCAACAAAACACAGAGGACTGTTTTAAAGCCTGGGCAGCATGATACAGTCATACAATCCTTCTTTTCAGCGATAATTCAGGTTTGAGGATGAAGGTGAAACAGTTGCAGTTGCTGCAGATATAAAGCAAACAAATACAGTGTATCAGACCATTTCATGAAACTTTCCCATAAAGACAGAGAGAGAATTCAGCAGAGTGGGAGAGCATGGCAGGTATAATTGGTGTAAGTGAGGCATCCAGTTTCAATGATGTCATTCTTTGCAAGTGTGTTGCACATGCACAGATAGTCCACACATGTCCTGCTCTGCAGCATACTGCAAGCATTGCTAAATCTTCTAATGCATTGCACTTCAGAAGATTATTGATTAGAATTTTTGGAGAGTTTCTGCAGGTCTAGCTCTCTTTTTTTTGTCCATTCAGCCATGACACCAGTTACTTTTCATGCCACATCAGTCCACCTCCTTATGAGGTTATTCCTAAATGGACAATAGATTAGTGCACCATAACCTTTCTTCTGATTGTTCAACACTTTTCCACACACGCTGTATCTGCTGCACCTTTAAAGACTTCAGGCTTTGCTTATTTGTGTGCATGTGTGTGTGTGAGAGGGAGAAAGAGAGAGATAGAGGCTTTCTTTTTATGGAGTAACACATCCGGTCAATGACCTGTTCAACTTTCTAAACAACCTGTGTGGCTTGGCTCTCGGTCAAGCTCAATGAAAATCCTATTTGCGGCTGAATATAGGTAAGCTGTTAACAACACAGTACTCAAGACCTGAGTAACGTCCGTGACACACTTACTGTGTTTTTAGTCAAGTATAAAAAATTAGATAATTTTTACCAAAGAAAAAGAACATCACTGTTATTGCAATGCCTTAACAGAAAGTCTAATGCTACTTTTGGTGTTCTTGCTTGACATTTTCCCCCACATGAGGGCAGTATTTGTATGCAAGACAAGACTAAGAGAATCATGTCAAAGAAAATATCCAGAATGTAAAAGAAAAATCATGTGTGTGAGTGCTGGGAGTGGTTTAAGTTTGAAATGCTTAAAATGGTCTGTTACATTTTATAGGATGATAATTTGATTGCTGGTTTTAACTGATTTATTGTACCAATTTGAAAAGACACAATAAAAAATTTACAATGTAACAAGAGATCTTTACGTCACCTCTTTGAAACCTTTCAGGCGTGTTTGGCCTTCATTATTGTGCTGCAGGGTGAACTGTTCTCCACACAGATGCAGTTCAGAAGGTCAAACAGGTCTCTGAAACCCCCAGCAAACCTTTAAGAAACCATGTTTCACTCTGAGTTTGATCCACGTCAGTCTTGTCTTATCATTCTCGTGTTCTTACTGACACTAATCTCTTTACCCGTGAATTATAAACTGTGATTCAAAGTATATTGGACTTTTTATCATTCTTTTTAATCAACTATGAAATGCTAGTTTGTCTGAAGTCATCTAAGTATTTACACCTGTTTCCCCTTCTGAGAATTGGTTCAGAGAATACTACTATACACACTCCCTTCGACAGGACTTTTCACTTCACTTTTACTTTTATTTAATTAACTGAGTTCTGTATCCCACAAATTTGTTGTCATTTATTTCAATCAACTCACCTTCACATTGATTGGTACTAATTTGGGATTGGTTTTGTTTTTGTGGATTGAGTTTCACATTTGCTCAGAGCCAGCGCTTGTGCTTGGGAGTTAATTGAAGGCAGGTGTGTTTGAGTGTGCCTCCACACTCCACATCCCTATTTATAACACACACTCCAAACACTGTCTCTCAGTTTCTGTCTGCACGTATGCCATGTAGTTCAGATTTAGGTGGTTGACATTCTTGGGGGTTTTCATTGGGTATTTTAATTAAGATTCAACTGAATACTTATGTGTTATCCTCTTGTTTCTGTCTGCAGGCCATGGTCTGCTAAGTTCTGCAGCCTAAATAAAAAGGTCAGTTTATTAAGAGTAAAGTGGCTGATGGCCAACTTCATGCAAGGTGATGAGTGTGAAAGGACGAGTGTGTTTACAATTTTATGCAGTCTATTTTCTATCTATATTGGTTTTAATTAAATAATTGATTATACTTTGGGTTTATAAAACTGTATTTTTACCTATTTTTACATTGATCATTTAAGCTAGTTTTTTTCCGAGCTAATTAGCCAGTGGCCTGTATTTCTATTTTTAGCAAATAATTGTGTTAATATATTTTTTTAATTGCTATATTTTAGCTAATACTTCTTTATTTATTTATGATAGTAGGCAGTTGCAGTTTTGCTAATAATTTAATTTATGAATTAATACTAAATTTTCTAGCTATTAGCGTGTATTTAGATTTTAATTTTTATGTTTTTATTCAGAATTTTTTGCAAACTATTTTAACTTTGCCAGTACTTGAAATAATTCTAATTCTAAAAAAAACAAAAAAAAAACAACTTTGCCAGTAGCCTATGGTTCCCTATCATTTATTTAGTCTACTAGCATTTAAGGAAGTTTGTTTGCCATTTCTCAAATTTTCAGCTCTCTAAGTATCTCAAAATTATAAGACATATAGATTATGAATTATGACTTAAAATTTTAAATAGTAACCTAATTTTT